AAATGGATCTCCCGACCACCAATAGGAGCAGAGCATCAATGTAATATCATGCAAAATCCCTTTAGGAAGTAAGAAACACCCCATAAGAAACGCGGGGGTGCTTCCCCACGACTTTTTATATACACAGTGCAACCCCCATACGACAAAGTATGTTTGGTCCAGCCACAGACACAAGATGTCACTTTGTTACGGATGAAACCAAATGCGTCAGAATGGCTCTGACAAATCATCAAAGGCATACCCAAATACATCCCAGGATCCGAAATGATATTCACCCCAAGTAAAGAGCTCAAATCTCGACATATGCTATCATGAGTATAAGGACCAAAATAACCTTTTGACCAGAAGCACTTTCATAAAGATCCAACACTTCTCGTACTCGAAAAAACTCATTCGCTAAACAACGAAGGAAAAGAAGACAATCATCAACATAGAATAAATGTGTCAAATGAGGATTTTCCGGACAATATGAGGTGTTCATCGTGTCATTGATATTATTTTCTTGGGTGACTGTCATTTTCATTTCTTTATCTCCTCTGATGAAGCCCATCAGTATGTTCATAAGAGATCGCCGTGGTCCTTTAATAGTGATTTGATGGAGCATAAGTTGGAGAGTCACATTAAGAGAAATTTGTTTTTCTCTTAATGTGACCCTCAAATTCATAAAACAAACTCAATGTGACTCTTTTCAGAAAATAAACGAGGGCCACATTAAATTTATTTTATGAGTTAGAGGGTTACATTAAAAGAAAAAATAATACGATTGTCACATTAATTTTTTTTCAAAAGTACATAGACTTCTTTTGTATTTTTGCATGTAATTTATAACAAGAAGCATACAAATTCTACTAAATCCTTCGAGCTCTTTGCACCCCTCCAGAACAGACAACTTTCCATAAATGCACAGGTCTCTACATTATCACCTATGGATATGACATTGGCAATAGGTTTTCAAATGCTCAGCTCCACCATTAAAAGTCAAGTTCTGCAAAACGATAAACTTTCTTTGTCACATAAATTTCCTTTTTTGTCTTTCAATGAACCCATTGAAGAAATCGAATATATATAGTCGTTTTGTATATCTTTCAGAAATAAATAGAAAGATTAACTAGACAATCATCCTTAAAAGTTTTAAATTTATATAATTTAAATATCTTTTATATTTTTATAAATAATTTATTATTTTCTTAAAATTCTATAAATTTATCTATTAATAGGGAAACGTGCAAATTATATGGTATTTTTGAAAAGATTTTTGGAAGATACAATGTCTCCAGTTTTATTATTTTGCCAGACTTGATGTTTCTATTGTATGCAATCTATAAAAAACTTATACTCTACGTTCTAAACGTCTTTTAAAAGTCGTTAAATAATTTATACGTATTCCTATAACATTATAACAAACATCTTATTTCGTAAAATAATTTCCTTAATACTCTAAACGAATCAATCTTTTTTCTCACCACGTTAACTAAACTTAGATACGAGGCCATTAACTGCGCATCAAGAACGTGGTCCATACGATGTTGTTCAGCCTACCATCTATTCCTGTGAACCCAACGCCCAAAAGAGAGTTTGCACAGTTCACGCCTCCTGCAACTGCAACTGCCTCAAAATTACAAGCTTTCAACAAATAGGTGCCCAAAAAGGGTAGAAGATTGAAGGGTAAAAACTTAACAAAAAATGAACATTCGATGCAAATTATGAATTGGGGATCGAACTGGAAGCAAACTTTAAACTCGAGAACCGTTGTGACATTTTCTCTTCATCTTTCAATCCACTCTCGCACATGTGGCTTCTTTATCATCATCCATTATGCCTCTATAAGACCTACCCTATGTATATATCCCCCTTTATAGCTGTAGTCAGGAATCTTGTGATTGAAATTAATGAATCCTTCTTTAACAATAATTTCACCCATCTTGGCCTATTATTATTATAATTCAACGTAACATTGCCTTTTATTTTAATTTTTATATAGAAGTTTTTGGATATCAAAATGAATTTTACAAAATTTTTGAGTAAGATAGACAATAATTTATTGACTGAAAGATTGTATTTCTGAGTATTGATTGTAAATATATATATAAAATTATTTCACGTTAAAAATTTATTAAGAAACGTGACATATTAAAGTTGATATAATAATAAATTTGACTCCAAATTTTGAAGCATTAATATAGTTTAATTGTAATTTTTTAAACCATTATCATTTTCTTCCAACTTTTTACCAAATTTCCAGTCGAAAACTCCCTTTAAACTCACCTTAACCGAAATATAAGAGAAAAATAAAAACTTCAACTGAAACAAAAATATTATTTTAGCTTCCCTGATTCTTATCCATGACATATATTTCTTTTATTTATATTGATGGAAACATTTGTTTATGACGATGGTAGGAGATTTATCTTTGCTGATGGCAGATTAAAGATCATAAATGATGTTCTCTATCTTCATGTAAGGAAAGAGAAAGAAGAATAAGTTAAATTCTTCTTTCAATCTCAATCAAGGGATTTTATAACAACTCTTTGTATCGATGTCAAGCTTAAGATCATGATAGTTATATATATATTTTCAGGATTAATGAATACGATTGTGAGATAATAGATTTAAGTTCTAAGTCCCGTGAATCTATTAAAGGTCATGTCAAAGGATTATTTATTATCCGAGTATATGGTATTCCAAGAGCTTAAGAGAACTCTAAAAAAATACTAGGTACTTCAAAAATCTCAATGGCAAAAGAACATTTTCAGGGGGAAAATATCATCGTATTGTCTCAGAACTACTAGTAGCAAACACGTATGTTGAATGGCTTGGCCTTTTCAGCTTATCGAGAATCATGCGAGATATAGACTCTCGTGATTTCAAGTTAAATATATATTTTTTAAAATAAATGACAGGATTTAAATTTAAATAAAATAAAATAATATAAATATATTTGATCACTCGATCAATTAATAGATCTTATGAATATATCAATTAATAGATCTTATGAATATATGCTTTTAACCAATGCAACATAATATAATAAACTCTGCTGCCCAGACAAAATAATGGAAAGTATGCATGATTCCCATTATCTTTACTTTTTGGATTCCTTTTACCTCTGTCTCATCTTTCTCTTGCCCTAGAATATTTCTACTGAATGGCTCCTAAAATCGAGTTCAAATTATTTATCCTAATGTCATGCTCCTAAACACAAGATTAAAGCATGAAACAATGATATACTCTTCGTAAAACTTTTTTTTTATGTTCATCTATCTATGCATCAGTCCTAAAGTAATCTGTCTTCTATTAAGAGGAAAGCTCTTGAAGTAAAATGAACAACACCTCCTCGCAAGCATAGTTTGACAAATAGAGTGACGGATTAAAAAAAAATTTTGAGGGTGGAAGATATATATTAATAATAAATAAAATTTATATGAGATAAAAAAATAAAATTTTATGGTGAGGACCATTAATAAAATAAACAAATTAACATAAAAAAAATTTGTATTTCATGATACACCTTAAACTCCATTTGCATCCGCCGGTGTTGAGAAATGAAAATTCTTACACAAAGGAGTCCCGGCCAAAGAATAATTATCAACTTATATCTCTTTGCTTAATACAATGTAAGTAGGGATGGACGATTTTATATTAATTAGGGGAGCAAACTTTTAATATTTTAGGGGACAATAACCTTTTAAAATTTTAGGGAACGAAAATACGTTATCAATAAAAAAATATAAAATTATATCTAAAATATATAAGATTTTAAAGCGCAAGTGCAACACTGTCTCATGTACTATAGATTTTTAGAACGTTGCATTTTTAGGTGAGACATGCATACAGATGTCCAATCCCAGAAATATAGAATTCTGTGCAACAACGAATTGTGCATTGCTGAAAATGCATGATTCGAGAATATCAACAAAAATCGGAACAAGTACAAGATTGGTCAATCAAATGGCATGAAACACACTCGGAAAATCAGTCGTCAAACTACTCACCAAGATAGAGATGTGATATATCAGACTGTTATATTATATGTATATATATTCTTCAAATTAATGCAATTCAATATCAACCAGGTAAGAGAAAAGGGTCCAAGGGTGAATTCACTGCATCACTACAGTTTTGGAAGAGCCGTATCGTTCAGTAAACAGTAGTGAAAATAATTGATCGAGAATTTGTACGACAAACATGTATCTATAGATACCAATTCAGCATGCATATATGTTTATACCAAGAAATAAAGATCTTGTTGAAGTGCTACTAACTAAAATACTGCTGGTGTAGTCATTTCAATTCATTTCGGAAGCTTTATATTTTATGTATCAAAGGTTCTTTATTTGAAACTTAATCATATTTATTATCAATATTTGATGCAACATAAACTTCAAAATGATTGTAGATAAAATTACCTGAGTTCTTAGTAGAAGACTTACCGGTAGGTTCGGATTGTAAAGAAGAAGACTCCAATTATCACGTAGCGAGGGAAAATCTAACTGAAAATAATAACAAGTTGCAACAATAACAACGCTGAGTACTGACAATACCTCTTTATTGTGCTTTAACTTTTCCGTGCATTTCCTGCTAGCCTGCAGCTTTGTTGTTCAGCAGCAACAAGCCAAGAATATACATATATATATAATGGTTAACTTACTAAATTAACACAGAGACACGATAGAGGGAGAAAAAGGAGGAGTGAAAGGCCTTTTTTTAGACTATACATACATACATACACACCAGCTATCCATGCACCAGACGACAAGTAAATGCTGTCAGTCAGAAAGATGGAGGGGGAAAAGAATGTGCTAAGATAACTAGAGAGGAGGAAAATATATAATATTACACACACACACACACAGATATATATATATATATATATATATATATATATATATACAGACACACCAAACAAACTGGGAAAAATTGATTTACAAATAAATAAGTTGGGAATATGGTGATGTAATTGTATATGTATTATACACAATTATTGATTGTGTTGCAACTTCTTTTAGCTTTAAGCTCTGCATAGATCCCAAGCCTGAACAAACTAATGTACTAAAGCAATATGTAGAAGAAATGGTGTTTTCTTTAAAACAAGGATTGCTAAGAACTTATCTTCAATATCATTCAGCCCTCTTTCTTAAATCCAGTGCATGTTGAAAACAAAAAGAAGAGAAAATGTAACCCTTCACTGTATTTTTCTCTTCATGATCAGAGATCCAAATCAGTGTACAAGGAAGCTTTCCCTTTCTTTGAATATTCAGACAGTGGAGAAATGTTATTATTGTTGGACGAAGATAAATGAGGAGATTCATCTGAATCTATTGTGCCGTGAGGAAAACTCGAGGAAGATTCATCTTGAGCAGTACTAGGACACTCCATGTTCACACCAAACAACCTTAGCTTTTTAGCTACAGTTTTAGTACCCTGAACAACTGGCACTGAATCAATCACCATTGGCCCTCCTTGAACTGCTGTTCCAATTTGGTGATGTGACCCGGATGATGACCTCGGATAATACTGCCCCACATTGCGGTATGTAATTGCCTGACGCTGTAGCTGTTGTTGTTGTTGATGATGATGATGGCAATGGCTATAAGGATATATGCTGTAGTTCAACCGATGCAAAGGCTCGTAGCTTCGAGAAACGCTCATGGTTTGCGGCATCGAGTAGAGACTACCCCACCGCATTGACTGCGGAAAGTTGAACCGACGTTGGAGCTGTATGTGTGCGAGTGTTGCTGGATCGGGTGCATTAGGCCTGCGGCTCCATTCAATGTATAACTGGCCTTTTCCCGCCTCCCCGACACCCCGTTGGAATGACACGATATCGCCCGCACTGAGCTTTTTTTCCTTGACGAAACGGCTCCACCCTTTGGTCATCACATAACTCTGGCTACTATTCCAATACAAGTACCGGAACCGCCACGACTTGCCGTTTGGATCCTCGAAATTCAATATCAGCCCTTTCTCGTTTGATGAACCGTCGAGAGGGAAGTACTTCTCGGCATGCTGCTTCGGTATAACGAGGCGGTTGAGTTTGCCTACATCGCTCGGTGTGACGACTTTGTCGAACATGTGTTCTTTCTCGGTAGACCTACTACTATTTCCGCCTATACAGCTTCCAACATCTGATTGACATTCATTATAGTTGCCAAGTGACAAGTCCATCAACCCTAGCTTCTCTTCGAAATTGATAGCAGGCTCTTGGGCTTTGTAATTTTCTCCGGAATCCAAGGTTCCCGACCACAAGTTTCGGGATTGCCGAGGAACAGAATCTTTGTACTTGGAAACTGCAGAAGAAGAGGAAGAAGAAAACAGGAAGTTGCTCGGAGTTTCTCTCATCACTTCACCATCGTTTTGCTCATGTTCCTCATTACAATACCCTTTATCTTCTTTCATAAAGTTCATTCTGATGACCCACCGCCAAATTTTACCTTGTTTATCACACTGAGATGAAATACGATTGAAATGAAAATCCATCCATTAGATTGTTGGAAAATGAAAGGTAAAGGAAAAGAAAAATTGGGTCTAGATTCTACAACTGAAACTGAAACAAGACCTGACCTGCAAAATAATGGTTCTTTGGAAGTATATGGTATTGTTTCTCTTAGATCTTCGATGGCCGACGGTCTCACTGCAAAAAATGACCGGGGCCGGTCCTTGCTTTCTTCTTTGACCACGAAAAAACAAAAATAAACGATGAATAGAGAAAACCCTAAACAAGTCAAAATAAGGCCATGGAAGAAGAATCAAGATGATATGGTTGTTTCTCGTGGTTGACTTAGCACTTATCTTTAAGGGAAAGCAAAGACACAAGCGAAGGATGAAATTTGGGTTTAAACTCAGTTTTTTCTGCCTCCATCAAAGCATCTTCTTCCTCTGCCAAAATTAAAAACGTTTTTTTTTTGTTCTGGGTTCTTAAAGAGAGAGAAAGATGAAGAGTGGAAAGGTAAATACTCCAACGTAGGGGCCCATGAATGATCTGGTTCGACTCATGTGAGCTTGTCCTTTCATCATTTTTTGGGTTTATCTCTTTATCATCTCTATTATCTTCTCCACTAAGACACTATGGCCAGTTTAGTCTTTAACTCTCAAATCTCAATCAACGCCAAAAAAAATGTGCCCACAAGCATTTCCCATTATCTTTTATTATTATTATTATTACCCCTACTGATGTTTGCTTACCTATTACCATGAGTGAGCATGTTAATAGTTAGGTTTCAAATGGAGTTTTGAGTCTGCTGTCATTGATTGTGGATTTGCAGCTGGTCCTCCGAAAAATGGATGAATAAAGTTGAGCCGATTTTGCTCTCATCCGATCCAACAACAACAGAGGAAAAAAGATTCCTCTAATATCATACAACTAACCAAACTCACCATCACTGCAGTTGAAGTTCATCAACCCTTTTTCGAGCTTTCAACTTCAACCCCTCCCATTCCTCCGACGTCTTTGTCGTTTTCTTATCACTAGTACTCTATCATTTATGGCTAACTCGCTTTTAACTTTTCTTCATTCATTATTCCTACTGCTATATTTATATGCGTTAAATAAATTTCTTATTAATTTATTTCAACTATATATTTATGGCTAACTCGCTTTTAACTTTTCTTCATTCATTATTCCTACTGCTATATTTATATGCGTTAAATAAATTTCTTATTAATTTATTTCAACTATATATTTATATATAAATAAAGTTAATTGTATTAGTTGTACTCAAATTATAGCTTAAATCCTAAATTGGTTTCAAATTTTAAAATGCTCTAATTGAGTTATCAAAATATTCTCCTACTTATATTACATGTCTAAGTTTCCGATGTCATAATCATAAACCAAGTTCATCTTTATCGACTGAACATACATTAAAAATATTTATCATCTAGATATATCGTATAAATATTGATTGTTTTATGAGTATCAAGTACAATCATCTTTGACGCAATGTTAATAATTTTATAATTGTTAGACTCAAAAGTGATGATATATTCTTCATCACATAATTGACTTATACTTAAAAGATTATATTTTAGATCGTTGGCATAAAATAAATCTTAACAAGAATGAAAGAATTATTATCAATTGAATTGATTCATTTAATATGACTTTTGAAACGTCTCTTATAATCATTATATGTCTTGAGCATCCACTATTAAAAATACATGTATTTTTTGTCTTATAGCAATGTTCATTTTTCTACAAACATAGATTTAAGTTTTAGTTTTTGATACCTTTACATTTATAAGTATTAGTTCTCAATAATCTTGTCTCTAAGACATCGATTTTGTTAAGACATCATTATCCTTGGTAATTATGAGAATTTTAAAGATATATATATACACACACTAGAGCGTGTTTCTAACAATTTTTCTACTACTTTGAAGAACAATATATTTGTTTTAATTAAAAGCTATTTTTAACATATTTTTAACTTTCTCCTTTCTTTCTTTCTTTTTTTAATTATTTGCCTCAATATAGTTAAAACGAAGTCTTAAGATCATCAACTTTTTTTCTATGATCCTCTTAAACCTTTGAAAATGAATTATGTCACTATTAGTTTTTTCTTTTCAAACTCATTTACTGTTATTTCTATTTTATCAATCTTATTTTCAAGTTAATTTTTATTTTATTTTAATTTTTAAAGATATTCCTTTTGTGTTTTGAAATCATAACTTCAAATTTTTAGCACAAGCTTTTTGTAATTAACCAAATGTATAATAAATTAAACTAGATAAAATTGATGTTACCTTTGATTCTTCTTGAATAGTCATGAGACATAAATTGACTATTTCTTGTTCTTTCTCATCAAATAAGTCTTCATCACTCCATATAGTTACATATATCTAGTGTTTCTTACTAAATTCGTTCTTCTTCAATTGTAGACACTCAAATTTAATGTGTCTCGAACTTTTGTAGTCATATCATCTTTAATTCATTCTTGAAGTCCTTTTTTATTGGAATTCTTTTCCCTTTTTTAAACCTTATAACCTTCAAAATCTCTTAATAAGCATTATCATTTATTCATATTCCTCTTCAATTGAGTCACTCTCATTTTTAGTGGGATTAAATATACAAAAGGTGCTCAACCTATGTCCGTTTTTCCAGTTTAGTACCTAACGTTTCATTTCGTTACTCAAAATGGGTCCAGCTATGACAAGCCGTTAAATTTGGTCGTTAACACATTAAAAATGCCAACTAGCATATTTTTAAGGTAAAATATATAAAGAATCCCCAAAATTTTAAGGCATTGCATTTTGGTCACCCCGTTAGCTCCTCATTCTTCTTCTTCTTCTCCTTCTGCTATCATTTCCCGACGGTGGCATGCATCGCAACCACCAAAATGTTCCCCACCATCGCCCAGCCAAAACCCCTCTGGTTATTCACCGTAAACCGCTTCCGATCATTGTGGGTGGCCCTTTAAAACTTTGTCGAAAACCTAAAAACTCATCGATGATATTCTTCACAATTCCGACCACCGTAGGCATCCATAGGTCACACCGTCACCACCAACGTGATCGTCGTCCAACCGCGACCAAAACCTGATCACCCTTGCACCGTGAATCGTCATCGTTAGCCACGAAGAACGACTTAATGCTTTGTTTGAAAACACTAAACCATCATTGCTGTTATCACAATTTTCGCACCGATCCCGAGCTCCGTTCGCCTCACCGCCACCGCCACCTGGTTCCCCTCTTTTTTCTAACCAAAACCCAGCTAGTATCATTCCCTCCCGTCATCGTTTCCTCTGTCTGCCATCGAGGTAAGATGGGATTGCCTTATATTTAATTTTTGAGGTGACCAAAATGTAACGCCCTAAAAGTTCAGGGATTGCCAACTGACATTTTTAATGGGTTAACCGTAAAACTTGACATCCCGTCACTGTTGGACTCATTTTGAGTAACAGAATGAAACTTTAGGAACCAAACTGAAACAAAAAAACATTAGGCACTAAACATGAAAAGTGGGCATAGGTTGGGCACATTTTGTATATTTAATCCTTTTTACTGAATTTGAAATCAACTTGAACCTCTTTTTTTGCTTCTACTTCTTTGACGGATTTCAAAGAAACTCTCTATGGTAGAAGTATTGAAACTTTCCTTGAGGATTTTGAAACTTTTAGCTTAATTTCCAAACTATATTCCAGTATTTTACAAATTAAACTATTTTTGACTCTTTATAAACATTTGAAGTAAATGAGTTAAAATATTTGAGATTTATTTTTAATATAATATTTCTTTTAAAAACAATTTAAGTCGTTGATTTTTTTATTTCGAATAAGACTTTACAATTTTTTACAAAATCAAATTTTGATAATTTGATGTTATATTGAAATCATTTGTAAATCTATTGGACTGAATTATATTACAACTTGCTAATTATCATGAAAGGCTAAATATTAAATTTGTTGAATATGATTATATATTAATATCCCGGTTTTTATAGGATTAACCGAAACGCATAAATGTATGTAGCCTATAAAATAAAATAAAAATTAAAATAAACTAAATTAGCACAATTTGATCACGTTTATCGTAGTAAATACACACATAAATACACACACACACGCTTGAAATAGTTAATAATTATTGCATGTTGGTAGATACACAGGACAAGTAATAAGTAATTGAGAAAATTAATATGTGTATTATAAATATCAATTTTTTTAGAAAAATATAAAAAACAATATAATATATTCTCCCATGGGATTGCATCAATCTAATTCTCTTCCTAATCTAATCAAAAGATGTTTTTGTCACGCTCGATGAGTACCGTTGAGTACTGCTAAGTACCAATAACGATGAACATCGTTGAGTATTATTAAAAAATTAAAATTTTAAAAGACTCAACGTATAATTATAAATTAATTAAAAATTTAGAAGTAAATTATTTAAAATAAATTATTAATAACATTATTTTCTATAAATTCTTTTAATAATAAAAAAATAATAATTTACCTTTAGAAATGATTAAAAAATATTATGAAAAAAATGTAATTAATATTTATTTTAAATAATTTATCTTTAAATTTTTAACTCATTTATAATTATGCATTAAGTTTTTTAGAATTTTAAATTTTTATAAATTAAATTAGTGACAACGATACTCATTGTTAATGATGCTCAGCAATGTTATTCTATGAGTAGAATTTGTGCTTAATCAAATCAGTGTTTAGAAATTAAATTTTGTTGTTTTTTGCGACTTCATTTCTGGTAAGCCCATGGATACTAATTTTGAGTGTTAAATAAAATACCTTTGTAGAAATTTCCATAAAAAATCACCTTAAAAACTAAATATTAAAAAACCTATTTTATTTTACTTAAAATAAAATATTAAATATATTTAGATTGGCTGATAAATATACAATTTAAAGGACAATATTATTAAAAGAAATAAAAATATTGAGTACATTTTCTAAAAAGGAAAAACAATCGTGGAAATTGGACATGGCAAAATACAAGTTTGGTTAGACAAAGACTTATGTAAATGAAAATGTTTAAACGTACTCTGAAATTTAGGTTTCAGCAAAACATAATTAGTCATCAGTTGGTGGATGTGCCTATTCATTAATAATGTAATGTGGTCCAAATCCAATTACATCCATACCATATATTATATGTATTTTTCTTTCATTTTATTAGAGTAAAAAAAGACTGTAGCAATTGAAATTATGTATTTATATAAAATCTTTATTTTATTATGTTATTATATTTTTAAATTATGTATTTAAAATATTTGATCAACCTGTTCA